ACAGAACAAACTTTAATGGTAAAATGGTTTATACTATCAAATAATACAGTATTTATTTGGAGTAGATAAGTATTAGTAAATTTCAGTATGATTTGTATGATAATTTCAGACACATTAGATCGTACTCTTGGAGACAAGAGGCATGTTGTTACTGTGGAGCTCGCCGTCCATGCTCTGATGGAGTCTAGCACTTCCTGTGATGTGACTTTTGAGGAGGAAGTAAAAACTCAGCTTTCTGCTGGTGTCAGAGAAGCTGTGGAAAATGGAGTTGAGAGCGCATACCTCCAAGGTAACAGAAATGGATGCTTAAAAGCTTTTATGCCTGAATCATTCATCACATCTATATCTTCCTGGTACAGTATTGCAGTCTATAAATCTGGTGTCTATGTCAGCCATATGCTGTTGGTAAACCAACTCCCTTTCCAGGTCCTGTGCTGGGTTTTCCTGTAGAGGGAGTAAAGACCGTTATCCAGCATGTAAGTTTGGAGCCAGGCACTTCTGCAGCCATGGTGTCAGCCTGCGTGTCCCGCTGCATGCTCAAGGTACTCAAACACTGTCCTGTGTCTTTTCCCACAATCACTTTCAAATAATGCCACATCTGAGTTTATGTCCTTCTGGTTCAGGCTCTGAAGCTGGCTGGGGGGCAGGTTTTGGAGCCGGTGATGGCTCTGGAAGTGACTGTAGGCGAAGAGTATCTGAGTCCTGTGCTTGCAGATCTCGCCCAGCGACGCGGTACTGTATGCGACATCCAAAGTCGACAGGAAAACAAGGTTTTGCTGGCTACAGTACCTTTGGCTGAGATGATGGTGAGTCTTTCATTAAAAATATTACAATGATATATATTATTATTGATAAATATTACATGTGTCAGTACAATTTACAGCAAGTTAATCTCTATGTATAATAAGGCCAATAAAATGTAGCTCTCACCACGTGATTACTATACACCATAACAAGTGAACTATGCTGAAACGATTTTTATATTTATTTATTTGCTTCAAGGGCTACTCAACCGTTCTGCGCACTTTGACCTCTGGGAACGCTACCTTTTCTCTGGCGCTTTCCAGCTATGAGCCCATGAACACTCAGGACCAGAATATACTGCTCAACAAGATGGCTGGACTGGCTTAAAACATTAACATTCACCAACTGAACTGGGCAGTGTTTCCCAAAAGCATCGAAAGCTTAAGTACACCGTAGACCCATTGAAAC